CACGTTCCCCCTCCAGACCTCCCCCAATTGATAAATAAATCCCTCTGGGCAAACAGACGTCCATCGCGCGACTCTTCGAGTCTTGGCGCGCTTCCCGTCATCCGCCGACCCCTTGTGGGTCTCGAGGCGTGTGAGATACTTCCCCCCCATAACCCCCTCAGGGACCCTAAACCGGAGATTTGACCCCCCCCCCCGGCCCCGGGGCACCCACCGCCGAACGCGTCATGGGGGAGCAGAAGGTCCCAAAACGGGCCAAAAGCGCACAAACGGGCCCACGCGACGGCCCAAGAAGGCCCCAAGAGGCCTCCAAGACGGCCCACGAGGGCCCCGAGACACCAAACGAGCGCTCCAAGACGCCCAAGATGGCCCAAAGACAAGCTAAGAGGCCTCCTAGACGGCCCAAGAGGTCCCCACGAGGCCCCAAGAGGCCTCCAAGATGCGTCCCAAGAGTGTCCCTAGACGCAAAAATTAGCCCATTCCCTTTGTAAAACGTACAATTTTCACAAATTCGCCTTCTGGGCTTTCCGATGCTCCCAGACGGCCCAAGAGGCCCCCAAGACCGCATCAAGACGGCCCAAGAGGGCCCCAAGATAGCCCAAGAGGCCCCAAGACAGCCCAACAGGCGTCCAACACGGCCCAAGAGGGCCCCGATGATGGCCCCAAGAGCGCTCCAGGAGCGCTCCAAGTGGCCTCCAAGAGAGCCCAATATGGTCCCAAGCGGTCCAAGAGCGATCGAAAACACCGAAGATGGCCTCCAGACGGCCCAAGATGCCCCCAAGAGGCCCCAAGAGGCATCCAAGACAAGATGCGTCCCAAGAGGGCCTCTAGACGCAACAATTGGCCCGGTCCCTTCGTAAAACGTACATGTTTCATAAATTCGCCTTTTGGGCTTTCCGACGCTCCCAGACGGCCCAAGAGGCCCCCAAGACCGCCCCAAGACGGCCCAAGAAGCCTCTAAGAGGGCCCCAAGACAGCCCAAGAGGGCGCCACGACGGCTCCAAAGGCGCCGAAGACGGCCCAAGAGAGCCCCAAAAACGGCCCCGAGAGCGCTCCAGGAGCGCCCCAAGTGGCTTCCAAGAGAGCTCAACATGCTCCCACACGGTCCAAGAGCGATCGAAGACACCCGAGATGGCCTCCAGATGGCCCGAGACGCCCCCAAGAGGCCCCCAAGATGCGTCCCAAGAGGGTCCCTAGACGCAAAAATTGGCCCATTCCCTTCGTAAAACGTACAATTTTCACAAAGCTGCCTCGTGGGCTTTCCGACGCTCCAAGACGGCCCGGGAGGCCCCGAAGACCGCCCCAAGACGGCCCAAGAGGCCCCCAAGACGGCCCCACGACGGCCCAAGAGGGCCCCAAGACGGCCCAAGAGGTCCCCAAGACGGCCCAAGAAGTCTCCAAGACGGCACCAACAGGGGCCCAAGAGGGCAACCAAAAATTCAAAAATCTAGCTTTCCGCCCCCACGAGCCCCAGGGGGCCCCAAGAGTGCCCCAAGAGGCCGCCAGAGGCCCCCAAGAGGCCGCCAAGACGCCCTAAGGAGCCCCCAAGAGGCCCCCAGGAGGCCCCCCAAAGACCCCCAGATGCTTCCGTATTGCGAGCCGTCAAGCCAACTGCAATGCATTCCGCGCATACAGCCTTACTCTTCCTCGCGACGTGCTCACAATCTTGCTCGGCGCTAGTGTGCTGTTGCCGCGCGAACTGTTTCGTCCGCGCTGCGAACGTCAACAGCCTCTTCACCCGTTTCGACTTATCTGCCACATCTTTCGCGGTGGTGCCTCGCTGATCACAGCTTCCGCACATTACTCTTGCTCCTTTCGTCTTCCGGTGGTCCTCCACTTGGTTGCGGGTCGAAAGGCCGACCTCCCAGAAGGACACCCCGCACCCCGGTGCACAGCACGCAAGGCGCTCGCAAAACACGCCCCAGACCACCGGCATCACGCAAACATTTGGACCCCCTACGTATTTGCCACCACCCGCGCGCGACACCGCACCCTCACACAAGACGCCGCTGGCCAGAAACTCCTGGCCTCGCAACACTCACAGAAGGGGTCGGCGGATGTGGCGTAAGCCTGTAGAATCTGAGGACATATATCATGGCCCACGCCGTGGTATTCAACCCCCCCTAGTCATCACCCCCCTCTTTGCCGCAGCCGAGCTTCGCCTCCGATGCTACGTCTGCCCGCCGGGCGCCGCGTGCCAACACCACCGCGGCGACGCTAACGTCTGCGGCGCGCCACTGGACGGCTACGGGTGTCACGCGAGGTGTTGCGGAATTGGACAGTCCCGCACCGCACGACATGACCGCATGCGGGATTGGCGCGCACAGCTGCGCACCGCCCTCACCGGCTTCGCCGCGGCCACGGAGCAGCTTGTCTCAGCGCGGGACCGCGTCAACAAGCGAACAGGCGCACTGGATGCTGCCAAGCTGGACGTCGCCACCACGGATCTGGTCACTGGCCAGCCCGTCTATATTGACTGGAGCACTACCTGCGAATACTCAGAGTACGCCTTCGCAAGTAAGCCCGGTCCAGCAACGACCGTGTGACCGCAGCAGCCATGGTCGGGGAGAAACGGACCCGGTACCCCTTCTCAAAAGGGTGACCTCGCCCATTCGGACTTCGAGATATTGGGCGCCCCGTCCGACGAAGCAACAAAGTTCATCCGAACTTCTGGGAACAGTGTCGATGAAGCGGCTGGGGGCGAGGAGCTCGGCAGGGTGTGGCGCCAGCTATCCCGACAGCTCCGACGCGGCAACGCATAGGCCAGCGAGGCCCACAGCTCCCACCACCACGACGACCACCACCACCACGGCACCATCCAGGCCGACAGCCGACGCCGCGGCAGCGACCCGTACAGCAGCGGCGGACCAGGCAGCGTCGACGGCGACGTTTGCGCCGTCGCCGGCGGCATGGCGACACGCCTCCTCGACAATCACGACTGCGGCGCCGACGACTCACTGCACCGACCTTGCAGACGTGCTGCAGCGGATTGTTGCGTGGCGAGTGAAGAACGCAGTGAATTTCGCGTGGATTGTTTTAGTCTTCATTCCAGGCCAAAAACATCCGCACGAAATTCACCTCGAAATCCGGAACGAAATTCTCCAGGACACTCCGGGCCCATCCTATCTTTTTCCGAACGCCATCCGCTCTGCGGTGTTGGCGCCATGAGACGACCACCGCAGACACCACGACCAGTACGGCCTCCGACGACGACGACGACGACGACCGCCCCCCGTCCGCCCCTCGCCCCCCTCCTGCTCGCTCCCTTCCTCTCTCTCTCTCTCTCTCTCTGGGCCAGCCGCCCCTGCCCGCTAGTTGTGTGTTCGCATTCGGCCCTGCTCTGAGCGGGCCTGGCCTCCGTCTCCCCCACGCCACCGCTGGGCGTCCTCCTCCTCCCCCCTCGTGCATCGCGGCCTGCTGCGTGCTCGCTTACACACCGACGCCCTCTGCGCCAGCGCAGCCCTTCTGCCTGGCCGCCGACGCAAGAACAGGGTGGTCGCACTCCTCCTCCCCCTCTTCCTCTCCGCCCCCTCCCCGCCCTCCCCGCCCAGGGGCGCGCAGGTCACTGCGCCGCGCGGCCCTCCCGAGGTCTGGGTCTGGGGCGGTGCGCCCGCGGACTCTTGGAGGCTTCTAACACGTTCCAGCAGGGCCGCTGTCGCTCTCCGCCCCCTCCCCGCCCGCCTCGCCCACTCGCGGAGGCTTCTAACACTCTTCAGCAGGGGGCCGCTGTCGGCCGCGCGACACGCCTGGCCCTGGCGGACTCGCACCTCAAAGTTAGGTGCGTGCCGGGGCTGCGGATCTCAGCGGGAAGGAGAAGCCGGAGGGGAGGGGATGGAGGGAGGGAGGGAGGCAGGGAGGGAGGAGGGAGGGAGCGGGAGGGAGGGGGCGGAGGGAGCGGAGGGAGCGGAGGGAGGGAAGGGAGGGGAGTGGAGAGGGGAAGGGAAGGGAGGGGAGGGGAGAGGGGGAGGCGGAGGAGGAGGAAGAGGAGCAGGAAGAACGCCACAGGGTAACCTTAGGTTGGTCTAGCGTAAAAGGAGGAGGAGGATAAGGAGGAGGGGGAGGAGGACCAGTGAAAAACCCAGATGCGTCGACGATGTTGCAATCCAAGTTCCTTCTTCATAGCTCCAAATAAGAATTGATTCATTGCGCGAAAAGGCCCATTATAAGACAATCGACTGAGAATCATCCATCGCGCCTAGACAACATTCCTGGGACTTCAACGCAGCGGATCAACGTGACTGCTGCGCCCTGACAATCTGGACTCCCGCAAGAACAACTCCTCGGACGTCAGCACCGCGAATCAACATTATGGATGCATTTTGGCCTGGTAATTCTGAATCGTGCCAGAACGCGATTCCCAGGACTTCAAACATACGAAACCCTGAAACGGGTGCAAGCTTGGACGACGAATGTGCGCGGCGCTACAACGAGAACCACATTTACAAAAACACCCGCCCTCCATCCGCGAAACTCTTGCAAAAGTTGCAAAACGACTGTGCGCGGCGATAGTGCGAGACCCACATGTTGGAAACCACCCGCCCTCCATCCGCCAACCTCATGCAAAAGTGTTACAACGCACGTGCGCGGCGCTAGAGCGAGAGCCACATGTTGAAAACGGCATGCCCTCCTTCCGCGGAACTGTGGCAGATCTCGAGACGCAGAATCGTCGATGGTGACGACGTCTGAAGCGAAACGCCCGGCCCGCCCCACAGACACGTCTGGGGTGCTGCGACTGGGAGGAGTTGTTCGTGGGGAACAAGAATGGAGGAGGAGGAGGAGGAGGAGGAGGAGGAGGAGGAGGAGGTGGAGGAGAAAGCCCGTGCCCTTGCCTGTGCTGTGTTCGCCCGCGTGCCCGACGACGAGGCGGTCCGTTGCCCCCAGGCCCTCGCGAGGTGGGACGCCATCTTCGACCCCGACCGCGAGGAGGCCTGCGGCTAGGCAAGGTTGGCATCCTTATCCTCCTCCTTCTCCTCCTCCTCCTCTTCCTCCTCCGCCTCCTCTTCCTCCTCCGTGTTCGCGTGCTTGTTGCGCGAGTCGACATCACGCCTTCATGTCTTCAGGGATGAGAGCACCAGCAGGAGGAGGACGAGGAGCGCCCTTGCCTCCTCCGCGGGCACACGGGGAGGGGGCCAACGCCCACGCGCCGCGGCCGTGCCCGCGCGCCTCAGGCCAGCTCTGCGGCTCGCGGGCTCACGCCACGAGCGTGGAGGCAGTGGCCGAGACGTACCTCCACGTGGCCGGCAGCGACTTCACGCGCTTGTAGTACCTCGCCAGGCGGTGGATGCTCGGCGGCGCGCCGCGGGGAAAGGCGAGAGGGGGCGGCCTGCGGAGGCCCTTTCAGAGTCAGGGTCTCCACTGTAGGGCCTGTCTTAAAAACAAGAAGAAGAAGAAGAAGAAGAAGAAGAAGAAGAACTCCATAAACATCAATGTTTGGCGCCTCCAGCGCGGAAGGGGGGCCCAGCGCGGATCCAAGAAGTCCGCAGCGCGACAAGTTTATGTTTATGCCCATTTGGTTGTTCCTTCGCTTGGGCCCCGAAACAGGCCTACAGGGAGGGGGGGCAGGAAAGATGCCGCTCGAGCACCTCTTGGGCCCGAGGTGGCAGTCTAGGGGCCGTCTAGGGGCCGTCTTGGGGGGGCAGTTTTCTGCAATCCACGATCCCCCCCCCCCCGCGGTTCTTGCCCCCGGGGGGGCCGCCCGCACGGCAGAAGGCGGCGGGGCTTCTCAGAAGCCCCCTCTGGCCTTCTGGGAAGCCATCCGCGGTGTCGGAGAATTGGAGGCCTGGAAATTGGCGCCAACACCAGCCCAGGGGGTTGCCTCCACAGGGGGAAGATGATCCTAGATTTCGGTGTTGGTGGCAATATTTCGGCCACCTTGGAAGCCAGAATATTACCACCATCACCGAGATCGGGATCGTCTTCCCTCGCTGGAAGCACACCGCCGATCTTGGTGTTGGTGTCAACCTCTAGGCCTGCGAGAGAAGTCTTGGAAAGCTTCTCCCTGAAGGCCAGAGGCCCCCTCGGCACTCTGAGAAGGCCCGCCCCCCCTCTGCCCGCCCCCCGGGGGCGCGCCGCCGAGATGCGGCTCTCCACGAGGATGAGGCGGAACTTGGAGTCCTTGTCCTTGCGGTTCTTGTCCAGGTGCTTGCGGATGGCCACGGCCTTCTTGATCAGGTAGTACAGGTCCTCCGGCAGCTCCGGGGCCATCCCGTTGAGCTTCAGGATGCGGAGGATCTTGTTCCCGGACACGTATCTCACCTGCGGGACGCCGAAGCTGTCGCGCAGCGTGACGCCGATCTGCGAGGGCGTTAGTCCCTTCTTGGCCAGCTTGCAGATGTGGTCAACGACGTCCTCGCTCTTCATCTTCAGCCACGTCGGGGGCCTGCGACGGTACGGCGCCGCCGATGACGAGATGCCCTTGCCCTTGCCGTACATGCGCCCCATGGCTGCTACGCTTTCCCTGAACTGTCGCCGTATGCACTGAGCCCAGAGCGCTTGAGCCAAAGCGACTACGTCAGGAAGGCATACCCAAACATGCGACGTCTTGATTTGTTTCATACGGGGTCCCCAGAAGTTCCGAGCCTTTCCCCAGGGCTGGCTTCTCATCCCGAGTCTTTTTTCGATGGTCCCAGGGGCGAGGGCCCCCAGAGGCCGAAACAGTCAAAAACCTCGACTGTGAATGAACAGCCTGGGTGCTATTGTCAAAATTGTTGCGGCATTTCGCATACGGACGGTGGTGAAGTGAAGACGGCACTTCCGTTGCATCGGGCAGCCAAGCAACTGTACGACGTCGATGCCCCTCGGTCCATTGGACATGCAGGGCTTGGACCGCCTTGGCTCTGCGAGATGCCACCATGGTAAAAACGCCGCTTCTACAACACACGAGAGAGAGAGAGAGAGAAAGATAGAAAAAAGAGAGTATAGAGAGAGATAGAGCGAGAACCAAAACAAAACAAGAGAACATGTGGAGGTACGCTGGACGATCAAACGCTTCGGTCACAAGCGGCGCTCGCAAAACCACCACCGAGGTTCGGTGGCTCTGGAGCCGAGCAAGGACGAGGAGAAGGAGTGCGAAACACAGAAGACGAGCCACAAACTCCATCACATCGTCAGCGATGAGAAAAAGGGAGGGGGGGGGGAGAGGAGAGAGGGAGGGAGAATGGAGAGACGGGGGATAGCGGGGAGAGGAGACGACAGGGGAGGGGGTGGAAGAGGAGGGCGGGGGAGAGAGAAGGGGGGAGGAGGGGGGAGCAGGGGGAGGGGGAGAGAGAGGCTAGGTGGCATCTTCTGGGCGGCAACTTCGGCGACGTCTCTGCGGGCACGAATGGACGAAAAGCTCGGCCGAAGCCACGGGCTCACGACGTTGGACCGGAACAGAACATGCCCGATGTCCAGAGGCGGAGGAGGAGGAGGAGGAGGACACGGCTGAGACGCATTCAGCGACTCGGCCACATGAGGCCACGCCTGGCAGGATCAGTGTCCAGGGAACGCAGAGGCCGAAGGCTGCTTCGACCCCCCCAACAGCCTCTGAGAGCCGGCGCTGCGGAAAACATACCATCGCGCAAAATCTCGAGCGGACCCCACCCCATCTTTCGGCTATACTTTCGCGAGCCGGGTCGATCTGTGCTGGTGCTGGGGCTCGAAACCAGGCGAAACCACCTGGTGTGAAGAAAACTGCAACGCCCAGACCTCAAGGGCTGCGGCAGACTGAACCCGACGAGGCCGCGCCAAGCCAGAACTGCGCAAAGGAAATGCCAAGGCCAAATACGAATTCGGCCCCCCCGCAGCTGCAGCAGACCCGGACATCCGCCGCCACGACTTCTTCAATCCGCGGCCCCAGAAGTCCCAACCGCTCCCCCAGGGGGTAACTTTTCGCCCGGACCAACGCATAGTGGTCCCAAGTCGTCGGAGATCTGGTTCGCGGGGGGGGAAACGGGTCCCGAGGAAAACGGGCTCTGGACCCCTGAGGGCCTTCCCCCGGGACGAGATCCTCATCCTGCGTCGTGTCCTGACAGGTCCCAGGGCCCGCGGAGGGCCCCGAGAGCCCGGCAACGGCCAGAGACCTCAGGACCCGTCTCCCTCAGGACCCGCTCCCCCCTGTCGGCTACACGTCGGAGTGACCCTGGGCAAGAGTGGCCGTCAGTGCGCAGATTAGGGGGGCTCAAGGTGGCCAAATCCAGGCGCGCAAGCAGCCACTATCGCACCGCGCTAGGCGATCGGGGGGCCCCGGTGAGCCCGCGCCAAGGGTCACTCGGACGAAGGGTCAACCTTACAATGGAGGCCAGTCCACAAGAAAACGTCCACAAGAAACCCAACCCTGAGACCCCAGGACGTCCATCGATTCTTGGTGTGGGAACGTCGCGCTTCCCACAGCAAAACCATCGAAGCCCAAGAAATCCAGGGCACCCTGGAGGCAAGCAGGGTGTCTCTTGACATGGGCCTCCACTGCACATGTAGTCGACCCTGGCAAGTTCTGGGCAGGCGGAGTGAGGGGGCGGGAGATCGGGCCTGGGACCGGTGCTCCCGCCGGAGGTCCTCCTCGAGGGCGGACGCCTGGAGAGGCCGCTGATCTTTGGATGCTGGCATGTCTGCTTGCCTGGAGAAGGAGGAGGAGGAGGAGCAGGAGGAGGGGGAGGAGCAGGAGGAGCAGGAGGAGCAGGAGGAGCAGGAGGAGGAGCAGGAGGAGAAAGAGGAGTCGGAGGAGGAGGAGGAGAATGAGAAGCGGTCCCAGAGCACCTAAAGTTGTGAAGACATCACGACGGAAGGTTTCTCGATATTGTCGACATCTGGGGGCCCTTGCCAGGCCTCGGGGCTGTCAAATTCAGGATGAAAAACTAGTTCCAGGGGAAGGGGTCCAGACCTCTGTGGGTCGACGTTGGGAGGGAAAGAAAAAAAAACAAAAACAAAAACAAAAACAAAAAACGGCGTCGGGGGTCTGGGGAGGGGGAGCGCAGCGAAGCCCGACAGGAAATCGGGCTTCACGCATGCTGGGACTCCCCCGCAGGCCCTTTTGGCCCAGCGCTGTGCCAGAAGCCAGCGGAGAGGGAAGGACGGGGCCCAAAACCCCGATGCCGCGTTTGTCTTCACAACACCGACTCCCAGATGTCTGTCGGGGACGCACTGACCCGGGTCATTGCAAACCCGGGTCAGTCAGGCTTACAGGATCCTGCAAGATCCTGCAAGATCCTGAACCCAAGCCCAGGTCAACGGCCAAGGATCCCGCAAGATCCTGCAGGATCCTGCACCCGAAACCCAGTCAGTGCGACCCTTGCTCTGCAGGATCCTGCAAGATCAGGCGCCCTGGCTGACCCCCGTTTGCATTGACCCCGTCTCAAAGCTCCCGACGTTCACTCCTATAGGCCTACCACGAAATTTTCTTAGAACCCAAAAATGTTCCATAACTAAAGCAATGTTCTTAGAACATAAACCCGACGTGTTACAACAAGACAGTCTCGGCCAAAAACGTTCTAAGAACATTCCGTGTAGACCACACAAGATTCTTAGAATATTCTTTGGTAGGCCTGTAGGCGAGCCAAGACGCTTCGCCACTGTTTGCGTCTGGACCCATTCCCCGGGACCAGCTTTTCCTCCAGAGCCGCTTTGTTGACGGCCCCGAGGCCCGGCAAAAGAGCCCCTGGAGGTCGAGAGAAGGGCGCAGAACCTCCCGTCGTGACTCTGTCGCCATGCCAGTGGGTCTGGGACCGCTTCTCCTCCTCCTCCTCCTCCTCCTCCTCCTCCTCCTCCTCCTCCTCCTCCTCCTCCTCCTCCTCCTCCTCCTCGTGCTCCTCCTCCTCCTCCTCCTTCCTCCTCCTCTCCTCCTCCTCCTCCTCCCTCCTCATCATCATCATCATCTTCCTCCTCTCCTCCTCCTCCTCCTTTCCGTCCTCCCCTCCTGCTCCTCCCCCTCCTCCCCCTCCTCCTTCTCCTCCTACTCCTCCTCCTCCTCCTCCTCCTCCTCCTCCTCCTCCTCCTCCTCCTCCTCCTCCCCTTCCTCCATGCAAGCAGACGTCGCGACTTTGCCACAACGCTAGGGGATCGTGGGGGGAGATAGGGGGAGATGGCATGCAAGTGTTAGGTCGGGCATGTCCCCCTGAAGGGATTCTGGACGAAAAATTAGACACACTCAGAAAATAGTCACAAGTTGCCTAAACAGATTTGATGACCAACCATCCTGTGGTGTTGGGTCCTCGTGTTGAAGAGACAGCGCCCCGCGTTCCTTCCTTTCTTCCTTCCTTACCTCCTCCCCTCCTACCTCCTCATCCTCCTTGCCTCTGCCCTCCTCGTCGTCACCGTCATCATCAT